CTGACTTATTAGGAGAAAAAAGTCCAACATGTACTAGAAATTAAAAAAATATGCTATTGGTTTGACCTTGTTTTCGCAGCTTGGTCGGAGCGTCAGGACGACTTTGTGGAAAAATATTTTATCACTCAAATGAACTTTTGGACGGCATGACTACTTCGGCAAACTCGTTATATTCGTTTTGAGCTAAAAGTTGTGACAAATTACGGCACACATGTATCGGCGGCAAGTATTGATGCGCAGCCGACCTTGACTGAAGGCCTAAAGTCTATGGTTTAGTTGCTATTTAAAGCAGTAGTCATTTGTCCAGTCCTGTCGGCCATTGTCATGCTCGCAGTTGATTGGTCCTCCCACTCACATTCAAAGACTCTACAACTGATTGGCTGGTAGCTGAGAACAAGCTCGTTCAGCTGACTAATCAGAAGGGTAGCAAATGCTAGCCTTCAAAGTGCAAAACGTGAAGGTTTTATGCATTTTCTCGCTTCTCGCACGGTCATAGCTCTGCGTCTCCTTTCCGGGCTTTGTTTCTTCCTTTGGGTCTCACCAGAGTTTGGTTGTTGTGTCTGCCCTGGAGAATATTCTCTCCACTTTCCCCGTTCCCTCCACCAACACATCGGCATGGTTACTCCGACCTGACCGATGACGGCCGCTTCGTCCGGCCTGGATGTACGCGCCTCTTCTCTGCCGCCCGACCCCGGTCGGCGTGTGGAGCAAGATGCCGGTGATGGTGAGGCTGGTGAATTTGCCCAAATGCGTCACAAAGACGTCAGACAGCCTTGGGCGGCCTCCACCATCGTGAGGCTGGATACCATCAATGATTTGGCCATCAGTGGTGTCGGCCAAAAAGCGGAAACCAATGGAGCCCGCCAAACGCGTGATTCTGGCGCCAGCATCCAAGGCAGCAGTTCCGGTGAATTGGTCAGTTCCAAACCGTCGCCAAGCGGCAGCAGTATCGCCACCGATGACGACAGTGGATACACTCAGATGCTTCTTGGTCGACACTGTCTCTCCGACTCCTCGGCGAGAGGAACATTGGCCGCCGGCTCAAAAACGATGCCGATGCTGAACAGTCGAGACGAGTTTGTGGTCGCCATGACAGAGGACTTGGCCGAGTGGTTGAGTCGTTTGTATCCGACCACGGCCGGGGATTTGGATGCGGACAACTTTTTTTCCCGTCTTGCCGACGGTGTGCTGTTGTGTCGTCATGCCTGTGAACTGCATCGTCGGTTGGGCGAATTGTTTCCCGGCGTTGGGCAGAAAAGCATCATTCCCGGCATTCGAATAACCGGTATTCAAGCCGTTCTGCCCAATGGTGTGCCGGCGTTTCAGACTCGAACAGCTCGTCATTTGACCTCTTCTTCGCTGCCTCCGTTGCCGGTCTTGCCGACTGCCCCACCTCCTCTGCTTGCATCGACGGCCGCCAGTTTTGTGGCTCGTGACAATATTGCCAATTTTCTGACCTGGTGTCGCCAGTTGAGGATGTCGGATGCTGTGCTCTTCGAGACCGAGGACCTGATCAGTCGGCGTCATTTGCGCAACGTCATCGTCTGCCTGCTCGAGTTGGCCAGATTCGGCGGTCGGCTCGGCTTTGAGGTACCCGAGATAGTCAATTTGGAGTCGGAGATTGAGGCCGAGCTGGCGGCTGATCTGGCAAGCGTCTATGCTCCTCGGCCCCGTGAATCCGACCCCTTCAATGGCTGCTTGTCCGCCAACCTGGGCGGTAACAAAGCCGAAGCTCTGCACCAGTCGGCCGGATCGCCTTTGGACCAAGTCTCTCTGCAGACGGTCAGTGATACCAATCAACTGAGATTTGTTGGTACAGCAGAGTCTGCTACTGCCTCGGCTGAACCGCGCGATCGAGAAGTCTGGACCTCTGGCGGTGGCGGTGGTGGTGGTGGTGGTGGCGCTGGCGCTGGTGGCCGTGGCCTCAGCAACTGTATCGTCGCGCAGACCGGTGTCCGACTGAATAGGGCACAGGAGTTGCGACAGCGAAAGAATCGGCGCTCGATTGACCACCAGTCGACTGGGCAATCTGGTCGTGCCGAAGTGGAGGCCAGCAACGGAGGCTGTGCAAAACAGAGGCACATGCGTCCGGTTGTGGATCTTCGATCTCTTGACGAGATGGTATGTCATTCCCTATGGTCCTATTGCATGTATCACGCCCTATTCTGTTTACCAAAAAAGGACTTGTGCCGACGACTCATCTGCACAAATCTACAGTTAAGACAATCGTCCTTTAGTTTCCGGAGGGGCCAATTTACAGAGCCATTCTACCCGCCTTTTCAGATGAAATAAAAAGGCACGAAGGCAGCAGGATTCTGCAAAATTCATCTTTTCTTCCTAGGCATATTCATGTCTTTGTGTAAATGTGCACTGATCCGTGATTTTTAAAATTTCTTTTTTAAGCGTCACGAAATCTAGCGCTATACTGCTTAAGGGAAGGGTATTTTTATAATAATTGAGTAGGGCTTACCAGACACCAGTAAGATGATGCCAGATTTCGATTCGTCTCTTGAGACAACATTGTTGTGGAGACTGTAACTTTTTATGCAAGTGCACAATGGCGAGATTAGTTGGTTTATCTCATTGGAAGAGGACAGCTGATGCTTGTTGTTTCACAACAGTTTGGATTTAATACGACTTTACGGTTGAGCCACTGACAAGAAGATGAATCCACTTTTCAGCCCAGTGTTGGTAAGTTAATAGGTATGTTGGGCTGAGCAAACCAACACTTTGGACCATTAAACCTTAGTGACCCGCGGCTGACGGATCATGATTTAATAACCTGACTTGCACACATACAGGCCATTATCGCATTATTACAACCAGGGTTATGTTCTGGTTAACACAATATCGATCATACTTCTTGAGTCACTAAAGCTCGATGACCCGGACGTGTCGTTAGACTCCTTTGCTATTGTCTCAACTATAGCTAGTATTGTGTACACTGGCTTACATGCATAAAGATTTCAGCACATACCAATCCACACTCAACTAAAAGTATTCATTTTGAGTAGGTTTTCGAGAATTCCAGTAAATCAGTAAACAAAACGAAATAGGGTGACCACATCTCATATATGAGTATTCAGGTATGTATAATGTGAGCTAATCAAATCATTTTGTATCCTTAAAAAAATCATATATATATATATATAT